ACGTGCATGCGACTCGATTTTAGAAGAATTGAGTCTCATGTTCCCGCGATCTGGATACTTTGCAGCCTATGTCAAGAAGTACAATCCCCGTGCGTTCGACAGCTTTCAACGGTCTACATCAGCTAACCGACCTTCCCTATAGAGCATCGTATCCGTGTCTCCGGCTTGACGAAGTTACGCAGTCTGGCACTGGGGAATCCAGGACATTGCGCAGTTCTCCCAATCCTTGAAGAAATTCTCCCTTCTGTCAGGAGAGTCTCCTTCGAGATAGAGTTTTACCGTGCCGAGAACGTTCTTTGTCGAAGATACAGACCCCTCGACGAACGCCTTTGCCATCCCGATTGGCATGGTCTCGAAGGCGTACACATCAACTACGTTGGTGGTGTCTATAAAGAGAGGGCGACGAAACGACTGGAGCGGGCATTTCCTCAGTTGTCTGAGAAGGGTCTTCTGCGCATCACCATGAACAAAGATAATGTGAAGATCCATATTCCTTCCCATGTGCCCCGATATAGCTGACAACTCGTTCTCGCCGTAACTCCCCAGACGTTCCGTCATTTGCATGGACATGTTCGCTACTGAACAAAACATTCGTGTTGGAGAGAAATCAATTGACTTTCAAGTATGTAATTGTATATGGCATCGTGTTCTACCAGGACTAGCCTAGCCAATTAGTGCTTGAAGCTTTATGAAGTCTGGAGTGCCGAGGCCGGTCACCTATGCGTAGGGTCAAAAAACTAGGCTTAGCAAAGCTCGTCTCACGAAGTGCCATTGGGCAGTGTTGTACTTACAGGATCCCAGCCAGTAGTCGCGTTGAAGCCTCTGGTACCGCATCCCGGGTTCGAGCCAGACGTGATGTCGTTGAAACCAGCGATGCCAGCGGAGTAAATGATGGGGTTCAAGAAACCGAGGGGTGTCTTGCCTTGAGACAGACGGAAGTCGTTCAGCAAAGCGATTACACCAGCGAAGGTCTGGGAGAAGACAAGTCAGGAAAGGCAGTATCACAGAGATAATGTTTTGTACGAACCGGACAGCTGGCACTTGTCCCGCCGGTGGTCTCGATTACTCCTCCGACCACGACCTGAAAGCCATGACTTTGCGCAGCGACATCAGGTTAAGCACGGCCTGCGCGGCTGATAACGCAGTGAAAGAAGGAGCTGTCTGTCAATGTCTACAAAGCTAGTGACTGCAAGTATCACTGACTTGAACAAACCACTGTTCGTGGCCCCAAGCTTGGTCAAGAACGTTGACACGGCAGAGAGTTGGTAGCTAGTAAAGATCCGTCAAGATACTTCACTTTGACATACTTTCCAAATCGTCTCACCTAGGTTGAACAAAATAGTTGGAAAATCCTCCGCTAGAGAAACTAGCGGCAACTTCCTTGTTTACACCAAATGTTCCGCCGACAGTGGTCACGAAGGGGCACGAAGCTGGAAACGTGGGCTGGAAACGCACGGCGTTTCTTCCGTCATTCGTCTCGCAATCGCCGCCACCAACACCACTGTCACCGCTGGAGAAAATGAAGCTGCTACCGAGAGCTCCAAGCTGCGCAAAGAGATTGCAGATGCTGGAGGCATAGTCGAAGGGTACCTAGTCGGCACAGTATCAGGAGAGGTAGCGTTGATTCGTTGAATATGACGTCACTCACAGTCTGTTCGTGATCACCATAAGATGTGGAGAATGTCTGGGGAATATCGCTTTGCTCAAGCTCAAGAATGAACGTGATCCAATCTAAGTATGGCTCATTGGTATTTGTCGGGGTGCTTGAGTCTGGTATGAATGGAGGAGATCCACCGGTACTGTTTGACTGATCGCATGAGCTTTGAGGCGGAATCTTTAGTAGCCAGTGTCCTGACCTGAAATATACGTTGGGCGTGGGGAACGTTATACCTCCAACGTATTGCATGTCAACATTGGCCTGTAAGAGAAGCATGAGCATCGGTGAATCCTAACGCACGCAGAATATTATACTTCGACGCCGGGCTCAGATTGGTCGTTCAGACCACCATGAATTTCAACAACTTTGAACTTCCCGCTTACAGCGTCTGGCCTGAAACGTTGGAAGAAAGTCTTCCGGAATAAAATTAAGTATGAATGTTGTTCAGAATAAAGTCAATACCGCACCGTCAGATCAGCGAAGTTGGCGAACTCGTCTAGGTATCCAGCCACACCAATGGTGTTCCGGATAGTTGCCTTCGGCACATAGGTGCTTGTGTTGTACAACGCGCGCAGACAAGCAGGTGTAATAGTCGTATTGCAGCTGGGAGGAACGGCAGCCAGGGACCCGGGTTCAATGAGCTTTGATTCGATGTCTGCGTCATCATCTTGAAGCGCCTCGATTCGACGTTGCAAGTTGGTCGCCCTCATGGTACGAATGGTGCTGAAGTACGTCGTGGGGGTAACAACGTCGATGTGATTGTGGAGTACGCGGGGAAGGCTATACGAGGTGGTGCGTACGACGTGTTCGTTTGTCTGGCCATGACGGTATAGGCTATAGGAAGCGTTTAGCATGTGCGAGGCTTGCTCAACGGTAACCTTCAAGGTGATCCAGGAGCCGCCATTCCCGCGTTGTACGGAGGTCGTATCTATACCGTGAGCAGAGAGCCATGAGTCTACCACCGAAACGGTCTCAGGATGAGGCGCGACGAGCTCCTCAACCTCGTCCTTGGTGAGATGCTTGCCATACCTGTCGATGTATGTAGGTGATCAGTCGCCGGCCAATAAAACGACGGTACAATCCAAATTGATACGTACTTTGGGTGATATGGATCACTGACCTCGTATAAAGCCGTCACGAGTTCGTCGAATCGACCCTGCTTCAGGCCAATACGCATAGCGAAAGTATGGTCAGAGGCAGCAGGAGCATGCAACTCCCACCCCTTTGGAACATCTGTCCAAGCATGCTTCACTTCAAAGTCCCCCCAATGCTTCGGAAGGGGAGTTTTCGCAATAGTGGGCTGGGGGAACGCGAAAAGAACAGCAGCGGCAGAAGTGAATAACCAACGCATCTTAGGAGAGAGGTGTAAGTTCTCGACCGTCTGATGCACACGACGATTATATAGCAGTTGTGCTAGAAGACGAGAAGAGTTGGAATACTATAGAGCAAAAGGAGTTTAGTGAGCTAGCTCTCTCTTTTTGGCCGATACGCACCTGTGTGCCAGCGGACGCGGATACTGGCGGCGGACTCGGACATTGGCAATCTGGAATGCTTGTTGGCACCAGTGACGAACGTCCTTCAATTCATGAGCAGCCATGATGGCTCCCCCAAAAGGACTCAAATCATTAACATCATCGACATTTCAACATCTTGAGGCGTGGTTGGTGGGAGACAGAAAGGGGATCGAGCAAGAAACACGAGCAGGCTCCTGCAGGCTCCGGCGTCGGACGGTAAGCGTCACGAAAACGTTACTGTGACAGTCTGTGACGATCCTTGTGTGTGATGTGACCACTCGCGCTGTAACTTCGCGGCCGTGGCGTTCTCCGGCTCGTCGTTTGTTGTCAGTGTCAAGACTCAGTACTCAGCAGTGTCAACGACCGCCTTCATTCTACCTTCAAATGCGTATGGTCTCTAGTGCTTTCCTTTACCCACCTGGAATACCTCAGTGTCTAGGTGAGATCACAGCAACGATGTGCCCTGCCCGGAGGAATGATAGCTCATCCAAAACGCGGCAGCATCATCCATCCGAGCCTGTCGAGCGATACTCGGGCCCAGTTGCCAAGTCTAGGTCAAAATCCAAGTCTACAATGGCCAGAATTTTTGCATCGCACCGGTTCCATTCGAGCTTATTCTCCACGTCGTAGAGGTTATCCGCGACAAGAGTAGTCTGCGTGCATACTCGCTGACGTGCAGGAGTTGGCATCGCGTCGTTAGACGACCGTTCATGCTCGAGCTCACATATGTGACTGATACCTATGACGACCACTACTATGGAATCGCTCAGATCAACCGATGCCACCAATTGCTACGAACATCACCCTCGGATATCTCATTGTCAGTGGCCGAATTCGGTATTCATGTAATCGTCGCATTTGGCGGACCGCTGTCACAGATGATTAAAGTCGGCTTCTCCTCTGGTTGGCGAGTACGGACACAACGAAGTCTTTGTGCTCCCTGCAGCTGGCCATGCACGAGTATCGATCTCCTGTAGCATCGAGTGTTACTGCTCTCATGAAGTTGACAATGGACGATACGCTGCGGCAACTCCGGTTTGGACTTTCCTCAAGCAGGGTACTGGAACAAGTACACGGACCGCATCGGAGATAGTATGTCTTATACCGACCTATATGTCTCTGTGTTTGTTGCTCACAAGGTCTTCACACAGGAAGCCCTATTTCTTTAGCTACTCTCATGGGGCTACGCTCTTTGCACGCCGGACCCCCTCATCACTTTGCCGTCATTACTCTTCTCTCCGCGCCACTTTCTTCGTTGGAGCATGTATGCTTTCAGATGGGATTTGACAATGTGCGCAGCGTACACGGTACAACGCGCTAAGCTCAAACCGTTGGACACTCGCCTGGGTTCGGAGACGGACTTTCCTTCCTTGAAGTAAGTATCGACACGTCAGCGAACGATGCGTAACAGTTTCGCGTCAAGTACATCGGTAGCTTGCACGAGGAGACTGTCTTTGAAAGGCTCGCGCTGGCGTTTCCTCGGCTTCATGAGCGCGGGCTGTTACACATCGTTCGCTGACGTGTCGATACTTATGCATCGATGGCTACCTATATATCATCATCTGGAACGCGGTGAAGCCTTGTAGTTTAGGTACCTCACTGTACCCAGAAAGTTTGAAATTATGATAGACCATGTTGCGTGTCAATGTCTTGATTCAACGTTCGATATCCTTTCTGCTAGTATGAGAACCTTGCATTCGCTATGGTTGACTCAATCCGGTAATCTCGCCTCGTCTCATCGCCACGGCTCAGTGTAGACCATGTGCAAACCGAGTGCAAAAAAGCATTCAATGGAGAACGAACGAAAAAACACAGAGCTCAAGGAAAGCTGCATTAAGGGGGAATCGAACCCCCGGCGGGTCGAGTTATCGTCCGCATGGCAACGACCCAGGTTACCACTACCCCATTAATGCTGATGCCATTAGAGAGACAGATATCAATCTCACCATAAAACACAAACAAGAGGCTCTGAAAAGCGATCTTACAAAGCTGGAAACGTTGGATGCACATGTACTGCAAGGCGACTTGAGAACAACAAGGGATTCATTGACAACATCTGCGTAAGTAGAACGAACACTACTGCAATGTCTCCGAGAGTCCGAGATCAACCAATCGATCAAAAAGGGACATAACATTCGACGACATCATAGAGTCAGACGAAGTCGAGAAGAGTATTGAGAGCAGAATTCTCGACAAGCAGTAAGCAAGATGATTACAAGCAAGACGAGAAGAAAAGAAATTTGTCCGATCGCAAGAGTCCATGACCAAAGTCTACGCGCATACACCCCCGACATCACCTTCATTTCTGGTCGCACCTCCTCCACAACTCACAACACCCTCTTTCCCCCTCCTAAGGCACTAGGATCAAACTTTCCTCAGAACATGTCGGAACGCTTGTATGAACCGACGCCGTGAGAGGCAGCGCGGACGGTGGAAGTGGCGACGGGCGCAGTCACGACTGTGCCAGAGGAGAGGCCGGAGCTGACAACGGTGATGACCGAGGAGACAGCAGATGGAGAGCCGGTGGCTACGGTGGTAGGGACGACCGTGGTGACGCCGTCGCTGCCGACTGCCGTGGTAGGGACGACTGTGGTGACACCGCCGTTTCCAACTACCGTGGTGAAGATGCTGGATGGGGAGCCGGTAGCTACGGTGGTAGGAACAATTGTGGTGACGCCGCCGCTACCAACCACCGTGGTGGGGACGACTGTGGTGACGTCGCCGCTGCTAGCCACAGTGGTAGGGACCACAGTGGAGACACCGCCGCTTTCAACCACGGTGGTGAAGACGCTAGAGGAGGAGCCGGTAGCCTCGGTGGTCGGAAGGATTGTGGTGACGTTGCCGCCACCAACCACCGTGGTGGGGACGACTGTGGTGACATCGCCGCTGCCGGCTACCGTGGTGAAGATGCTGGATGGAGAGCCGGTAGGTACAGTGGTAGGAACGACTGTGGTGACGCCACCGCTACCGACCACCGTGGTGGGGACGACTGTGGTGACACCGCCGCTTCCAACTACTGTGGTGAAGATGCTGGATGGGGAGCCGGTAGCTACGTTCAAGTTGGCAGGAACGACTGTGGTGACGCCGCCGGTGCCAACAACAGTGGTAGGGACGATTGTAGTGACGCTGCCGGAGCCGATCACCGTGGTAGGAACGGTGGTGCCGGTGAGGACGGTGGATGGACCCACCGCGCTGCTGAAGGGGACCACACCTGCGGAGGCGGTTGCGACCAGGTAAAAGGGAAGGAGAGCGATGAGAGCGAACATGATGACTCTTCAGGAATGAACGGGTTTACTGGTGCAGACCGCGATGTGAGTGAAGCGTTTGGTGGGGATGAGTTCGTGAGCCAGCCAGCTCTTTATCCTCGAGCTTAACCGAGAAAACCTGTCCCATATGCCGAAGCGAGTAGATTCCGTGACTACCGCTGCGGCGTTGTCGCTCGCCAAAGAAGAAAATCAACGGCATCGAAAGACCCTTTGCCGGCTGAGCATTTTCGTACTCGTGCTTTCCACGTTATGAGAACAACTCGGCGAAACAACGCTGCGTCGTCGTGTATTACATGCGTCCAGCATTGCCCTAGCCAGCTGACAATCTAGAGTACTTCAATTAGAGACCGGCCGGTTTTTCCAAGCCCACTGAATTGGACCGACCGTGACATTCGAGACATGCCCAGTTCCTGAATTTGACTGGACACATAACGTCGACGAAGCAGAGGGCAACCCGCCAAATTCAGTGCGAGACAAGGACAGCTCCATCCTAAGTCCCTTGTCCACGACACTGAGTACTGAGGTTGGGTGGAGATGACACGATGGGATTTGTTGCCCGCTTCTGCTGCACGCAGGATATTCGTCAATAATGTTGCGGCAATCCGGCACGAAGAATAAAGAACCCACCAAACGATCGAGAGGCAGTGATTTGGCAGTATGAATTGTCGGTCTGTACAGTGCACATGGTCGTCCAGCAACGCAAGACACGCTCGGATAGGACGCGACCGAAAGAGAGGCGTTTTACCGGTTGAATATGTCCGAGCACGTGTTGCTGCGCACCTGGCGTTGAGTATCGGTCCCGTATCCGAATACGCCGGCTGCGGCGGCTGGCTGCCCAACAGAAGCTGCGGCCGGTTATTGGGCAGCTGTTACTACAGCACACTCGGAGCCGCCGAATAGAGCGGCGAGTTGACCCCTTGATCATCCCACCGGTTCCCACCCAGCACCTCCAGTAGGACCGAGTCGGAGTGTACCGCATACGACGGGAGAAGTAGCTGAAGCAGTCTTCGCCATTACGACAACAGCTTGAACACGCTTGAGACGCCACAACACAATTATATCGGCCTGAATAGTATGAGGGTCAGCGAGGTATCTACACGAACGCAGCGCTGACGTACATTTCCTCGGTAGCTAGACTGAAGCTTCGTCTTGCTGACAGTGTCTGGTTCAGCTGTGCGCTAGGTCAAGGTCATTGATACTACCTGGTCCTACCGGCGCCGAGTGAAGGAACAGCGAATGCAGAGCCACCATCGCATTGGGGGTTGGGCCGAAACATGCGGTTTACATTTGCTTGCAAGACCACTGTCGTACAATGGCACTCTGGTCATTCTGCCGATACGAGACTGCAAGACTGCCGCGTCCTGAGCTTGCAGAGGGCAAGCAACTTTTGTGCGACGGCATCCAGAAATCACTTCACAGAACTATGCATGATTGTCTTTGAGAGTAACACTCGTAGGTGAGCATATTTTCGATACAAGCAACGACAACTCGTACATTGAGACAGCAGCAAATGCTCGACGATCTGTGGACCAACGGAGGGCATCCCCTAAGATGACTTCGCGGCTAACTTCGCGTCGAAGAAGCCACGAATGTCTGCTTCGGTGACCTCTTTACCTTCCTGTGCGAACGGTCGAAGGTGATTCATAAGTTCATCGCTACGGACAGACTGTAAGTTGGTAAGCTCCACGAAGGTGTAGTATAGGTAAATACCGCATTTGATTGAAAGCCATGATCCCGTCGATCGCGCGATCGCGAGGGAGACGTTGCAATGCTCGCATACCCAGCTCTTCCAGCGACAAACCTGGACAGTGTCAGCGCAACATACTCGAGAAAAGCTTGTCAGCGAAGTACCTGAGTCTGGATCTTCCGGAGGCTCGTAGGTTTCCTCGGTTTCGAGAAGGTATTGGTGGGCTTCCAGTATCGGCAGACACTGGACAACTTTCAATAGTAGTTTCGTGACGAATGTGAGTACGACATACCTCGGAGCAGCGACACCATCGTTCACGAAATCCTTCGGTCAGGAATACATCTCCTGCTCCCAGAGGTGACTGCTGAGAACTACCCAACGAAGACAGGATCTCCTTGACCATGGTATTTGGCGAAGGAGCAAGACAAATTTGCTGTGTCTTGACTTCCGAAGTTTCCGCTTCCTCTCGCGGTCGTTTTGCCTGTACCCCGTCGCCTTCCGATTGCGACCGCGGTCTTTTCTGTCCTGCAACAGCACCCGAGTCACCATTGACTGCGACGTCAACGTTCTCCTTGTCCCCACTGAGCTCGTCAGCTCCTATGACCTTCCACGGAGACGACGGCGTATCTCGAACGACCATCAAGACGCCCGGCGTGCCCGCAAACTTGTGCAAAACGGAAATACGCTGGACGCAAGAACTGCAGACAAACGCATCGTATGATGTGCCAGGGATGAGAGGTGGTGGGAGTCCTGACGAAGACGCGTCCGACGCAGCATCGTCGTTGTCTGCGTCGCTCTGGTCACTGATGGGCTCTGGTGAGGGTTCACGCGCAGGAGGGCGTTCTCGAAGGTTCAGACAAGATTCGTGAAACCAATCCTTCAAGGAAGGTCAGAACCTGTCGCGAATGGCCACAAAGAACGTACCTCACATGCAAGACATTGTATCATGGTCTCTGGCTCCGTCTGCGCGTCATATGTCCTCGAACACCTGCAGAACAGCCCCTTGAAGTTCTGTCCGTACATATTCTCCGTGTTCTCCTCTTCCGGATTGGTGTGCAGCGTGCATTGGTGTGTTATGCTGCTCGTGGGACAATCGCATCGAAAATTGCGCTTGGGGAAGAGTTCCAGTTGCTCGTGGTCCGTATGACACGCCACAGAACACGCAGCGCATATTCCTCGAGGAACAGCGCACGTCGTACAGAGATAGACGGCCTGTCGTATTGGTCCAAGGGAGTGAGTACACTGAGTGAACTGAAACGGGAGTGCTTCGGCGGCTTCTTCAACAAGGGACGATTGTGAGGCGAGGATATCGGAAATCGTCGACGACATTTTGATCGCGGCGCAAGAGTCGATTGAAGACTTCCTTCGGGTTTCCTGTTCAGCGAACGGTCGTACGGGTGAATGTGACAAACGAGTTTGCAAGATGGATGTGGACGAGAAAGAAGGGCAGCGACAGGCGCCTGCGCATGCTTGATTGTTACCTTTCGACCACCACCTCCTACGTTGTCCTTTTCAAGCAAAGGTCGTGGCCACCATGGGCCCGCAACTTCGTTTTGAATCGCCTGTGTCCCGTGCAAAAATTCGGCGAGTACCATTCAACTCTCCACTTTTCTCGTTGCTGATACCGAAGCTGGTTTCTTAGGATAAGATTCAAGTGACCACGAGCGGCATGGACCCAAACTGCGACAGAGTTACCAGCGAGCTCCCTTCGGGAGATCGTAACAAGGTGGCTTTTGGTCGGCCAGTAATCTCCGTGGTTACGCTACACAGGAAAGTCGACATATTCGTGCTTATGGCCAACCTGAAGAGAGATTCACAATATGGGAGCAACGTTCGAGAGCTCCACCTGGTCCGAACGGGCTATAAAGGGTCTCTTCTTGACGCGATTGCGGATTATGGCCCCTTCCTAGACGACATCCTTCCCAACTTGGTTACTATCGTATTTCACGACTTTTCGTTG